TTTGCTGAGTTTTTTTAAAATAATAAGTGGATTTTAGTTTTATATTTAAAATAAATGAATAGAGATATGCACTTTTGAGTGTATGTATATATATATATTGTATATGTATATATACACATATATATACACATGTGTGTATTACTATATAAGAATTTTTTAAAGAAAATAAAATGCTGATTACAGAATACAGCTAGGCATGGTGGTTCATGCCTGTAAGCCCAGCTACTTGGGAGACCAAGGCAGAAGAATCACAGATGGATTGCAAATTCAAGGCCAGCCTTGGTAACTTAGTGAGACCTGGTCTCAAAAATTTTTTGAAGAGGCTGGAAATGTAGCTTGATGGTAGAGCACCCTGGGTTCAATCCCCAGTATTCACCCCCTGCTCCCCACAAAATAAGGCAGAATAGACTGGAAAATGAAAGGGAGAGGAGAAAGGAAAGAAAAAAAGGAGAGATGGAAGGAAAAGAGAAGAAAGGTTTAAGGAATTAGGATTGTTTTTGTTTGGGGAAGAAAAAAAAAACTAATTGATCAACTTATTCAAGTCAGATGTCTGGTTTAGTGTATGGCATATAGTGAGACTCAGTGTTTGTCGAATCGGTAAAGTTCAGTGCAGTTGTGTTGATGGAGGCATGATGTCCTTGGTGCCTATAGAAAGCTGAATAAGCCCTTCATAGTAAGGCAGAAGAACTGTTGGCCAAATGTAGGAAAGAGCTTCTTACTCAGCAGATTGAAGAAACACAGAGGTGGTCCAGGGCAAGAAAATCATCTCCTGATGACAGGGACAGCCCAGAAGGGAAGAGGCAGCCTGTGTACCTGGTAAGCTTGCATTGTTCACGAGCTTGCAGGCTACCTGAATCATCTTGCAGAGCCAGTCAATTGAGGGTAGAAGTCCTGGTAATGCTCAGAGAATCAGAGCACGGTGGAACCCAACTGCCCAACCCTCTTTTCACCCATGTGCTGAGGTGCTCTGATGCTGGGAGTGAGAGATGGGAAATAAGAGCAGCTGAATAAGGGAACATTATCAGGGAAGGTTCTGAAAATCCTAATCTTTAATGCCCCCAAAGCTATTTGGTTTTCCTAGAACTTCATACTTCCTGTCACACTGAGCCCCTCCACCCCAACCCATGTACTCTTTATAGTCCCATTTTCTCTATGAACTTAAATCCTGAGAGTCTGTATTGAGGGTGAAGCAACTCAGGCTCAGGGATGAGGTCACGTGGCTTCATATCACCTACCAGCTGTGTGACTTTAAGCAATAAAAATTTAATATATCTGGACTTCATTTTCTTTAACTATAAATTATCGGCAGTAAGTATCCACCTACAGAGGTTCTCCTCTGAAATAGATAAGGCATGAGATGGGATTATCATAGAACTTGAGGCATAGAATAAGTTGTGTTTGGGTATTGTGATCAATCCATCAACAAGTATCTATTAAGTGCTTTATACTATGCTAACATTTTTTTTTTTTTTTTGGTATGGTGCTGGGGATTGAACTGAGGGCCTCATGCGTGATGTCAGACAAGTGCTCCACCACTGAACTACATCCCCAGCCCCATGTGCTCATCATTCTGAGAAGCATAAACCAAGACCTCCATGGCCAAAGTCAAGTAGAAAATTTAGGCAAGAGCACATCTTTATTAAGTTCCTAACTGCACTTTTCAGTGCAAATGATTCATACTATTGTTACCATTCTTCTCTTTGCCTGAAATTACTCAATCTCCATCAGTCTCAGCCCCTTGAATGTAGCACTCCATAGGAAGCCCTGCATAAAGTCATACAATTGTTGGTTTCTGAATATAAGCAACAGTCTAATTTAGTACTCTAAAAATCCTTACTTATTTGAGCTCAATCCCTGCCCATCAGACAATCCATAAGCCCAGCCCACGGAATGTAGGCTCCCAACTTGAAATGCCAAAGAGTCTCAAGAAGGGTGCAACACTGACCTCCAACCACAGGCTCTATACATACCTCACACTCAAAAATTTCTGGGAGTGGTTTCCTTCCCTTTTTATGTTGTCTAAACTTGTTCCTCAGCATTAAAATGCTGGCTGAAAGCTGGAAGGGTGGGATTAAATACAGACTCCCATGTATTGTTTGTGTCATCAGAACTGGATGGGAGGACAATGAGCACACCTTTTATATATATGTATATGTATGTATATACATATATACACATAAATGAATATATATTATTGTAAACTTATATGCAATTATAAAAACTAATACAGAGATATCTGTTCCTTTCATGGATAACCATAGCACTATTGCATAAGCAAGAAAAATCCCCCAACCTTATTCACATCTCACCAGTTTTATATGCATGCACATGTGTATGTATGCAAGTATATAGTTCCATGCAATTTTATCACATTTTAGATTCATGTAAACATTATTGAAGTTAAGGAACCAAAGAGTTTCAGCCTCCCTTCTCCTCCTCACCCTCGTTGACCCCTACTTTGTTCTCTATTTTTATAATTTTGTCATTTCAAGAATGTTATATAAATGGCATTATGTGGTATCTAATCCTTTGAGATTGTTTTTCCTTCTCTCAGCATAATTCCCTCGTGATATATCCAAATCTTTGAGCATATCAATAGCTTATTCTTTTTTATTACTAAGTCATACACCATGATACAGATGGACTATAACTACTTTATCACTCACTTATTGAACTATATTTGTGTCTTTCCAGTTTGAGACTATTAGAAATAAAACTGCTTTGAACATTCATGCACAGGTATTAGTGTGAATGTATATTTTTTTATTTCTCTGGGATAAATACCCAAGAATGCAATTGCTGAGTTGTATGGTAAAGCAAATATTTAGTTTTGTAAGAAACTGTCATCATGTTTTCCAGAGTGGCTGTACCATTTTACATTCCCACTATCACTGTATGAGTGTGTAGTTTTTAGTTCCTTACTAGCATTTGGTATTATCACTATTTTTCATTTTAAGCATACTGATGGGTGGGCAGTGATATCTCATTGTGGTTTTAATTTGCATTTCCCTAATGGCTAATGACATTGAACATCTTTTCATGTGCTTATTTGCCATCTGTATATCCTCTTCAGTGAAATGTCTGATCATGTCTTTTGCCTGTGTTCTAATTGGGTTATGTGTTATTTTACTGTATAGTATTGAGAGTTCTTTGTATATTCTACGTACAAGTGCTTTGTAAAATAGGTGGTTTGCAAATATTCTCTTGCAGGCTATGCAGTCTTTTCATCCTCTTTACAGAGTCATGTGAAGAGCAAACATTTTTAATTTTGACCAGGTCTAATTCATCATTTTCCATTTCTGAATCATGCTCTGGTATCAAGTCTAAGACCTCTTTGCCTAACCCTATATGCTAAACTTTTGCTTCTGTTTTTGGCTTTTATTCCCCATCAAAGTGTTATGGTTGGAGTCTTACATTTAAATCTTTGTTCTACACTGAGTTAATTTTTGTCTAAGATGAGAGGTTTAGAAAATTGATCAAACTATATTATATTGTGTGCATGTGCAAAAAGTAGCGGCAAATCCAATTATTATGTATAACTATAATGTACCAATAAAAATACGTAATTTTTTTCAAAGATGTGAGGTTTAAATCAAAGTTCTGATTTTTTTCATTGTTTTTTGTTTTTGTTTTGCGTATGGATATCCAATTATTCCAGCACCATTTAAACAACCCCTAATTGAAAAGCAATTTGGCATTATTCATCATGAGCCATATCTATAGCTTTTCTCCTGTCATTTCTGGGAACTTATCCTAAGGAAATAATGCAGAAACAGGGAGGTAAATCTACAGGCTTTGAAAATATCCTCTGTAACACTTTTTATAAAATTGAAAAATTGGAAGTAATCTAAATGCCCAACAATAGGGGATAAGCTGAGTATGGCACACATGGAATAATATACAATAATTAAAAATACATTTACATATTAACTGCTACCCATTCAACAACTATATATTCCATATCTACACATGTTGGTACTGAAGATAACATAGTGAGCAAATTAGACACCCCTCCTCTCTCCTCAAATTCACAATCTAGAAGAAAAAAATACAAAAAAAAAATTCTGTATAGAAAAATACATTAGCCAAACTAAGGGGGAAAATATCACATGTATCAGGTTATTGCAAATCGGATAAAATATACGCTTGTGGAAAAAACAAAAAGCGCCTTCTTTTAGGTTCATTAGATCAGTTTTTTTCTTTTTCAACCCTCTGTTTTCCTTACCTTCCATAGTATTTTTCTTCTATTTAATAATAAATAGCAAAGTTTCAATTGCAAAGTAGCTTCTTGCTTGGTAAGGTCAGGAATCCCCATATGAAGGGGCAACAGGCACATATACAACCATCTAAAGGGCACAGAGAACAGACAGTTAGGTATCTGGTGCCCAGCTAAGCCATGCTGGATTATTCAGTCAGTCAGCAAGTACCCATGGAGTGTCCACAAGGTAACCCATGACACATGAAGCACTCAGAATATGAGTTTAAGAACAGACAGTCCCTGACCTCTTGGGTCACTTACAACAAACTATAATCTCAACCTTCCTTATGCTTGTTCGGTAGTTCACACTTCGCAGAATGCCATCGTGTACATTCCCTCAGATGATCGCCTCAGTGAACCTGTAAAGTTGTTAGGGAGGGTATAATTATCCCCATTTGTTAGACACTAAGATGCAGAGAGCTTAAGCAACTTGCCCAAGGTCACACAGATAATAAATGGCAGGCCGGGAGCTTGAACCTGGCCCTTCATCTCTAAGGCCAGTGCTGTTCTCAGAATACCACAATTGCCTCAAGAACAGCTGTGATAACAGTGGGCTCAGAGCACGAGAATAATCAGCAGAGAGCCATAATGAGAATTTAAATCTTGTGGATGAGAAAGCATTGCCTATGGCAGGGATGGCTCCTCTCCCCTGCTGGGGCTGGGGCTGAGGCTGGGGATCCTGGCAGTGAGGGGCCTGTGTGTGATGCGGATGCCTGGTCTTACCTCTCCTCCCTTTCCCCAGATGGTGAAGGCAATCCAGGTCCTGAGGATCCACCTGCTGGAGTTGGAGAAAGTCAATGAACTCTGCAAGGACTTTTGCAACCGTTATATCACCTGCCTCAAAACCAAGATGCACAGTGATAACCTGCTCAGGAATGACCTCGGGGGACCCTACTCCCCCAACCAGCCCTCCATAAACCTTCACTCACAGGTAACACACAGGCTGGGTCCTATTTCCTAAGCCAGGTTTGTAGGAAGGTCCAAAAGTCCCCAGGCAACCTCAGAAAAGGAATTCAACTCACTGAATCCTTTCACCAACAGGCCCTCCTCTGATCCCCATCTTCTGTATCTCCTAGAAAATGACAAGATCTGAGAGAGATAATGTCCAAAGTAATTCCTGGCTTCCCTGCCCCAGATTTCCAAAGGAAAGGGAAATGGGAGCTTCCCTGGAGGATGAACTGCAGATGGGCTCAGATCTCTTGGCCCTCAGGCTCCTCCAAAGAGCTCAAGTGAGAACTTTCTGTGCTCCTAGGAAAGAGGCTTCAGGGAATGTGGGCCTTCTCCAAGTCCTGCCCATCTAGTGAATGATGACAGTTCCACAGGACAGCTTCTCCAATAATTCACCCTATCCTGGTACCTCTCTCCCATTAAGGTTTAGGACCCTGTAAATGTCACCTCAACCTACCCTATTCCAAGACTCTCCTGCCACCTACATCCTAGGAACATGGAGATGAGGAAATGGTGTCTGTGTGCTATGGGAAAGAGTGGGCCCTTCTCTGCAGGGCACAATGTTTTCCTCAAACCTTCAAACTAAGAAGGCTGCCTGGTTATACTTTTATACCTCACTTGCTGGCATTTATATAAGCCATGGAGTCATCACTATGTTCCCCTTTCAGTGAGTTCCTAAGTCCTGAAGACACACAGGGAGCCCCTTCTGCACTCAGAGGCTTACATGGCCCTCCTCGTTAGACAATCAGGTGTGGGGATGAGGGTAAACTTTCCAAGAATGAATGGTATGAGGTGCTGGGAAGGATGCCGAGGAAAGGTTGTGCCATTTATATCCCTCGGCCTATAAGGATAGGTTGGTAGGGAAACAGGGAGGGATGGGCTGATCTGAAAAAGGCAGCCCCCTGTACATAGTGACAACAAGCACTGATGACACTTGGTATCACTTCAGACCCACCCCAGTGGGATCTCTGTGGGACACAATAGTGAGTACTGCACAGGACACAGGGAAAGAAGTTTATTTCCTCTTCCTCTTGCTTGAAATCACCAAATCACTTTATTACAGATCTAAAAACAGCAGCCCCGGCTTCTGCTTGCTAATATTCTCTTGAAATAGACTCATTCCTTCAGAGTCTTATTGTACTTTCCCTTATGATCAAAATTAGCAAGAAACTTGCATAAAAGAGGACAATAATTGCTCAACGAGCATCTCGTTTGTAATTTATTAGTTTCTATTATTGTGGGTTACCATGGTGACGCTGCGCAGCCCCGGTGACGGGAGAGATGTAAGATAGGAGCTGAGGAGGCTGTGAGGCCTCACCAAATGGAGATGCACATTTTTATCAGTAATTTTCATGAAAATAATAAGTGAGGAGTTAATGAGATGGAAAGCCATCCTGTGGCTATTGTGAATTTTTTTTTAAGTGTTGATCTAATTAGAATGCATCGGTCAGGAAAAGTAATGAGGATTTAGTGCCTCACAGAGATGTGAGGATCATATCAGAAAATTAGCACAAGTCTTTGGAAATAATCAGGTCCTTGGAGAGGCACCGGATTTCCCCTCCTGGGCCTTCTGACTCTACCTTGAGCTCTGGAGTTGGGGGTGTACAAAGGTAGTGGAGGAAGGAAGGGGGGCAGAGGGCTTAGCAGCCACAGTGGCCCCCTCAGGGTTAGGGGGTCTGAGGCTGACAAGCAAGGCTTGTGGGGTTTTTGGAGAAGGGAACAGTGGACTGTGAGATGCTTCCCGCAAAAATCAGCCTTCCCGGGAATGCCGGTATTCAATGCCTCTAAGCTTTGAGGAAAGAGGGAAGAATTTGATTCCTATCCCTGAGAGCATCAGATTCCTGCCTGAGGGTGAGGCTGGCCCTGGGGTAAGCCTGCAGAAAGGCCTCTGATCTGCAGGGAAAGAGGAACTCAGACAATTGGGCAAAAAAAAGACACTGAGTAAGGCATGCCTACTTGGTATTTCTCAAACTGTCTTTTCATTTTCTCTGATTGCCACTGCCTCCTTCACTCAGGCTTCAGTGGGTAAATAAGGTAATCGTACATCTGCTGCTGTCCTGACCCGCCCTCCTGTCTTACCTGGCCATCCTTCAGCCCCGCTTCACACCCACACACTTATTAAGTTCCCGCTGCTGGATTGTCGTCCTAAAGCCATTCTGAGTTTTCACATCTGCCTAACTGACATCCAAGACCTTCCTAAATCCAGCCTCAGCCTTCTTCCCTGAACAAACTTCTTTTCCATGCCAGTTTGTTCAGGGAACACTTCCCTCTGACACACCTCTCTCTGCAGAGCAAAACCAGACTCTACCCAAGGGCAGTGGCAAGGCTAAACCTTTGAAGGTCTCGCTGATCCCCCATCTAGAATGGACTTTTCCTTCTCTCAACTGGCTGCTGAACTCATTGAGCCCTGATGAGTCACATCACATGTGACTTTAGATGATGGACATTTATGTCAGTTTCATTTTCCTTTTCTAGACAACAGGGGTTTTTTGTTTGTTTGTTTGTTTTTAGTTGAGACCAGTATTTTATATGTTTAAAATCACCAAATCACTTTATTGCAGATCTAAAGACAGTGGCCCAGGCTTCCACTTGCTAATATTCTCTTAAAAATGGGCTCATTCCTTCGGAGTCTTATTGTACTTTCCCTTAGGATCCCTACCGTGCACAAGGTGTGCATGATCCACCACCAGCAAGTATTTGTTGAGAGAGGTAATGAAGTGGGGGGTGTCGGGGAGGAATCCAAAGTAGGGGGAAAAATCAGAAGAAAGAGAAAGGGGAGGAAAGACAAATATAGAGGCCAAAATTCAGGAGGGAGGGCGGGCCAGGCTGAAGTATTGGACAAGAAGAGAAAGAGACAGGAATCCAAACAGACGGAGGAAAAGGGAGATGACTCTAAGGAAGAAAGCGACAGAAAGAGGAGCAGGCAGCAATAGTGAAAGGATGACCGAATTGGGCTCAGTGCACAGTGTAGGCACGTGGGGGAAGAGAAAGTGAGTAGTCCTATGCTGTCCATCCACATCCCTGCTCCCTGGTCACTGAGGTAGGGCCGGGGCTTGCATGGGTTCTCCAAAGAAGGAGATCTTCTGCTGTCAAAGTACTGGTCCAGAGACTTTCCATGTGGTAGACTGGTCTCAGGAGCCCACACGGAAAGGAGGGAGGCAATGAGCGTGTGTGCTGTGCGCATGCGTGTGCCGCACATTCGTCATGCTCCGACCTTAATCCCCCCAGCCTGAAATAGCTGCTCTAAGCGCCAGCCCAGCCTGAGGAGGGGTGTCTACCCTCTGGAACATGATCCTTGGGATCAACATCCCGGCTGCCTGCCAGCTTTGTTGCAAACTGCTGGCTCATAGTTTTCCCTGTGTGCTAATCACCCAGCCTTGTGTGGCAAAGTGGGAGACATTTTTGTCTTCCAATTGGTTGCCCCACTCCCAGATGCCACGTTGTATCTTCCCGCGAGCTCTGTGGGGTTTGGAGTGTTCCCTGCTTGCCTTCCACTTCTATATGTGGGTTTTCTCTGTGGGGGTGGAATGGAGGTGGGAAGCAGTAAAACTGAAACAGTTTCAAAGGATTTAAGCTAGCTTTCAACACAGCTAGTTCTTTCCACCTCCCTAGGAAGCCATCCCATTCTGCCCGCACCCACCAATTTCCAGGCTTCTTGCAGGGGCAGCCTCCTCAGTACCCAGAACACTCATTTTAGACTGCTACTCTGGGTTCTCCTGTCCTTCCTAGAGGGCACAAACTAAACTATTTCACTAGAGAGAGTCTAACTCCTGCCTTGCTCGATCAAGTACTAATTTGGCCTGAAATTCATCCCTCTTTCTCCACAGAGATTTAGACTCAGCTCTATTACAGGCGAGTCAGACTGAGCCACAGTTCATTCAGTCACCAAGCATCAGGGATACTTACTGTATGCACAATGCTAGGTCCTGTGAGAACACACTGTGAATAGTCCAGGAGGAGCTCCCAGTATCAGGGAGAGGGAGCTGTGAGTCATACCTGGAAGTCTAAATAAATGACATCAGCCACAGAAAGCCCAGAGTAAGGAAAAAGAGGAGGAAAGAAGCAACTGAAGAGGTGGCGAGAGGGGCTGCAGGAAGGCCCTCCAGATTGAGCAGACCACATGTGAGATAGGAGTTGCCCTGATAGGTCTCCCAAGGGAGAGCCCAGGCCTGACCTCTGGTCCACACATCTTCATGGCCAGATTTGTTTCTGCCCATACAAACCTCAGTACTAACTAGAAAGGCCAACAGCCGCATTTTGCCCACTGTGATGGGAGAAGCTGCAGATTCACTGGCCTTGGGAGGGCTTCCTGGGGAAGGAGGTCTTTTAGGTGGGCTTGGGAGAGGTAATAGCCCTATTAGTATGTCTAAAGCTGAGTGTTTCCAGTGCTGCAAGAAGTCCGGGAGAAGGTGAGGAGCACAGCCTTTCAGAATCCCCAGAGAGTAGATAGTGGAAGGTGAAGCTGTCACTGTTCATCTATGCATCCTTCATCCATTCAAGTACTTGCAGAGCCTCCAGAGATGTAAAGATGGATATGGCACAGCCCCTGACTTCAATGTAGAATCACGAACGAGTATCTTGCAGCCAAATTTATGAGGAGGCTATATTTTGGGGCTGATCATGGTGGTCAGCTGCTAAGATTTTAAAGTGAAGAATATAGACAATGGATCAGGGCTAGAGACACATTGGGGGACAAGTTAACTGAATAGCCACATCTTGTATAGCTCAAAGAAGAACTATATCAGAGCTTTTTTCTTTTTAAAAATTATTTATTTAATTAATTATTCTTTTTAGTGCTGGAGACTGAACCCAGGCCTTGAACATTCTAGGCAAGGGTTCCACCACTGAGCCATACACCCAGGCTCTCAGAGAAGAAAGGGAAGACCATCAACATTGATTGAGCCTCCCCCCATCCTGTGCAGTCTCAAACTTATCAACATAATAGGTGCTTTACATATAATATGTTATTTGATCTTCACAAAG